CTCTCTCTCTCTCTCTCTCTCTCTCTCTCAAAAATAAATAAACATTAAAAGAGAGAGAGAGAGAGAGACTCTGTAGCCATGAGCAGTCTCTCCCCATTCCTCTCTCCCAGCTCCTGGCAGCCCTAACCTACTTTTTGTCCAGTGGCTTGGCCTGTTCTGGCCTTTTCTTAGAAATGGACATATATGTCACTTTCTATTACTGGCTGTTTTTACTTAGCATGAGATTCATTCATGTTGTAGCGTGTGTCATTAATTCATTCTTTTCTTTGTCACCTTCTATTACTGGCTGTTTTTACCTAGCATGAGATTCATTCGTGTTGTAGCATGTGTCAGTACATCATTCTTTTTTATTGGAAATGGCTTCTTAAAATCTGTATTTAGGCATATTATATCAGTAAATAGATAGGTGCAGATAATGTGGAAAAATTGGCATCTTTTTGCTATCTGAATTGGCAGCTTCCAGTAGATCACTAGAAGGTACATGCTCCACAGATTCTAGTCTTTCCTCAGAAATCATCCTGCCATCTCAGAAATTCCCTTTGCTTACAGTTTGATGACCATAAAAGCTTTTTCTTTGGAATAGTTTAAATTAAAATAAAAACATATAATAGACTGGTTATAATGAATCCTTCAAAATATAAAAATACATTGCCATAAAAGTGACTTGTTAATGTCTGAAAAATATGCTGGTATATGACAAAGTGTGACTTCTATTAATATATAAAATTACTAACATCATTACTCCTAAATTGTTATCAAATGATTCTCATAGAGCACAGATAAGTATATTTTCTGAATATGTATTTGGCTTAAATAAATCTATTTAGTTTCCATAGGAAAAAACTAAGAGCTAAAAGGGTACAACACTAGGTAGATTAAAATATTTTGTCTGTGTGTATCTAAAATATGTATCTGTTTTTATAATCTTTGTAATACAATCTTAGATGGGTAAAGAAGATTGAGTCATGACCAATCTGAAAACTAATTTATTGCATAGTAAGACATTTTGAATGAAAGATTAGATCTATAGCACCAGGAGAACTTCACATGAATTCTTCTACTTAGACACTTGGATCACTGATTTCTTCCTGAGTGGCTGGGGAGGGCTGTGCAATCAGAAGAATCACTTGGGAACTTCCTTTCCTTGTCCAAACTTCCTGAAGACATCTCATTCCAAATACACAGGTAACAAAGGAAAGGAGAGTTTCATTCATTCATTCATCATCAGATACTTATTGAGTGCCTGTTTGGTGCTCGACACTAGTCCAAGCACTAAGAATACTGGCCCTGTTCCTGTGAAATTTCATTCTGGTGGGATAAAGGTAAAGAGTAAATAAGTGAAGAAATGAATTAGCTAATTGGAAATAGTATTAAGAACTGTGAAGTCATTGAAATAGGACAAGGTGACAGGAATGAAAGGGAGTCTGTTTTAAAGAGAGATGTTGGGGGAATTATCTTTGAAAAAGTGTCATTTGACCTACAATTAAAAAGCCAAAAATGTACTATCCATGCAGAGTTCTGACAGGAGAGCATTATTCTAGGCAGAGGACATAGCAAGTGCAAAGACCGTGAGTTTATTTTTAGTTAATTCATGCTCTACAAATTCTTCCAACTCGAGAATATAATATTTATCCTTTTTTTTTTTTTTTGGATAATCCTATAGTCATTATAATATTACTGCTTGCGTATGATAATTTGTAATAAACAGGAAGGCTTTACAGCATGTTTTCATGTTCAGTAAAATTGATATATGGTATATATATCAAGGTAAGAAAGGAGGAACTTGGAGACAAAGATAGCTAGACACAATCTGATTGATATATTTTTAAAAACAGGCTGCTTTGTGGAGAGTAGATACACCATGGACTGTGTATTTGGAAAAAACTCTCCTGTTTATTTACATGATATCACCCAACTTCCTATCCATTGCCAATAAGGTTTAAAATATTTGATTTTGTAGTTGTAGATTTATTTATTTATTTGCAGTTCATGTATTTGCTATAAATTCTTCTAACTGCGATATAATATTTAGCTTTTCTGATTATCATGTGCTCATTATTTTAGTACCTAGTACACTGTAATTTGTAATCAATATTTGAAGACCTTTTCAGCTTATTTTTCAGTGTTTAATAAAATGACAATAGGTTGGCAATCCCTATCAAAATAACACCAGCATTCTTCACAGAGCTGTAACAAATAATCCTAAAATTTGTTTGGAACCAGAAAAGACCCCAAATAGCGAAAGCAGTCTTGAAAGAGAAAACCAAAGCTGGAGGCATCACAATCCCGGACTTCAAGATGTATTACAAAGCTGTTATCATCAAGACAGTAATAATTTCGCTTCAAGAACAGACACTCAGAATCAATTAAGGACTAGGAATAGAGAAACCTTCCCAAAGAAGTGGACCCACAGACCTGGCAATATCTTTGGCAAAGCAGCCAAAGAATATCAATGGAATGCAAGAATAGTCTCATAGCTGGTTGTGCTGGGAAAACTGGACAGTGACATACCCGATGAGCCCTGAAGCACTTTCTTACCATACACCACTCAGAATGGATGAAAGTCTCTTGTCAGGGCAAGGCCATCAAAATCTATAGAGGAGAAAGCAGGCAAAACCTCTTTGACTAGGCTGTAACTTTAACCCCTCAACACATCTCCAGAATGCGAGAGCAAAGCAAAATGAACTACCAGGGACCTCATCAAAATAAAGCTTCTGCACAGCCAAAGCAAAACTAAAAAAGGTGAACAGGCAGGGTCAGGAGAAGATTTTACAAGCAACATACAAAGGGTTAGTAACCACATAGAAATCCTATAAAGAGAACTTAACAAACTCAACACCAAAAAATAAATAAATCAGTGAAGAAGATGGAATAAAAGACATGAATAGACCACTTTTCCAAAGAGACATCAGATTAGCCAACTGACACATGAAAAAATGCTCAAATGTCACTCATCATCAGGAAATATATTAGCCAGGATACCACTCACACCTGTCAGATGGCTAACAGTATTAACAACTCAAACTGACAACCGATGGTAGCAGGATATGGAAAGAGGATCTCTTTTACTGCCGGTGGGAGGCATATTTAGTGCAGCCATTCTGGAAAACAAAGGGATGGAGGTTCATCTATGGTAAAATAGAACTACCCTGGCAGGTATGGCATTACTTTTCTGGGAATTGTTGCTCCGAGGATGGGTGCTGTTTTGAAGGAGGCACCACATTACTAATCATGCTTATCCTTTGTTGGCCAAAGTAATAGGAAGAGCCCATATATTCCCTTGACAGACAGGATAAAGAAGATCTCTCTGCCACAATGCAAATTATTACCCAGCAATCAAAAAGAATGAAATCTTGCCATT